GTTCGCTCGTTGCTCGAATTCTGTAAAGAGATGGAAAAGAGAGATAGAAAAGATAAAGAAATTTTAGAGGGAAGGAGTGGAAGTGGAGCAAGTTGAAGTTTTTGATTTAATTAGAGGAGGAGGAGGAGGAGGGGTGGATTGCGAAGATGGCGATGAAACGAGTTTTGGCGTGTTTTAATTTGGAGAATTTCGTTCGAGTGAATATTGAAAATGATTCTGAAGTATTTTTGGTTAAATATCGCATGCTTGAAAGTGAATGTATGAAATTTAAGTTATTTTAGCGATCGAAGGATCTTTGAGTATTAAATTGAAAAATTCAGAAATGAAGTTTAAATTTGAAGAAGCTTCAAATAAAAAAATTAAATATAAGAATTAAATTTAAAAATTGAATTTAAAATTGCTGACTAGAAGAAATAAAAGAAGAATAATTTACGTGACTGGCTGGAAAAAAAATTATTCGTGACAAATAATCTTGAAATTAAATGCTGAATGATAATGAATAATAATACGCCATTTATGAAAGAATATTATAAGAATGGAATTGATTGAATGGAAAAGAAGAAGAATAAAATCAAATTAAAATGTAAATAGATTTTTTTTAATACATAAACGTAATAAATTAGCAAATCATTCTTCAAGACGGCCTAGAAACATGTATTAAAGGAAAAAAAATATTTTATTTTATTTTCAAGAATCCTCGAAGAATTTCTTTATGTAATGACAAATATATGAGAATTATAACGTAAAGAATTTACAATTACACGCGTTAGTTGTAAAAATGAGAAATGTGCGCGCCAGTGAAATTACAAACCGTGTAAGTTCGTAAATAATCGTAAATCATAGTAAATGTTACGCCATTCACACAAATTCAGATTGCTTAATTGTATAATATTTTGTATAACGTTTTTTAACGAAGCAAATGTCTGTAACGAGTAATAACAAGTTTCATCAAGGGATGTAGCAAATTATTAGAGAATCGATCAAAGAAACAGCAAGGAGAAAGGAGGAAAATGCATGGAAAATTTACAAAGACAAATTGTACAAATTTTATGACACGTGTAAGAGATGGAAAATTCATAAAAATCAATTTTAATTTATTACTTTTATGTTCTTGAAAAAATTTATGGGAATTGCAAGTATAATAATATTAATAATTCTCAATCTCTAGTGCAATGAATTTAAAAAATGATTTCAAATAAAAAAAAATTCGAATTATTTAGAAATGAAGAATACGATTTTCAATTTTCCCGCCACAACTTCAAACGCCATTAATCGATATTTTTTTTCTCTATTTTTTACAAATTAAGAGATACTTTTAAACTTAACTTATATTTAATTATTTTGAGAAGGGTACAGATTTTGAGTACATTTTTTTTTAAGGAATATGCTTACATACAATAATGTAATATTGAGATAGTTTTAAAATTAAATTAAACAATTTATTATCTATGTCATTTTTTCCTATATTCCTCAACTGTATGAAATAAATTTAAAATCGCAGGAGACTACGTCAAAAGCCACGTTAATATTAATTCACCACAATTCCCATTTTTCCATGTGATGTCGTAAAATCAACTAGTGTCAGCAATATCGTTTTGCATTGCAAATCGAACGATTCTCAGTTGAATTGTTACGTGCTGTTAATTTTAACGTTACGTATGAATATTGATGCAATTTTACAGTCTACTTGAAGAAAGTGTTGGAAAGTCTTCGAAACTCGCCAATTTGATGGAAACGCGATGAAAATTTAAAAAAAAGAAGCAAAAAATTTCACAAAATTCTACTTTGACAAAAAGATCTAATCGTTTCTATGGATCTCTCAGAGATTTCCGCACAATTACCATTGTGCTGTACACTGGATCGAACGAAAATTCGATCGTGCATTTAAAGAATTATATTTTTTTACCTATATCAACAATTAATTTTAATTTTTATCTGAAATTAGTTTGAAAAATTTCCTTTCCTTTTAATCCTTTTTAATTATCTCTGTGAGAAACTCGATTCGATTCGAAGCGATTCCTAATCGAATTTTGTGGAGGAGAGCACGCATGCCAGTGCAATTATCCACATCGACGCCCGAATACTGATCTCGGTCTATTAACAAATAAGAAATTCCACAATGACCGCTCGTGATCGTTAAAACTGGCGGTAACCGGTGGATCGAAATAGTAATCACCGAGTAAAAAGTTAATTGCGAAACGAAACGATCCACGTTAGATCGGCGTTCTTCCGCCATCGAGCATTGGCGCTGCGATCCGTAGGTAGGGGATGAAAAGAAAAAAGAGGGAAAACGATCGGTCAAACTGATTTCCGCGATTTTTACTTCGAGACGGCGAAAGTAAAAGATCGAAATCCTTCGATCCGTGACAAAATATGCGAGCAAAGTTGAACATTCGATCTTGATTACTACGTTTCGAGTTGTAAGTATCTTGTAAGTATCTACTTCGTGATAAATTGCAACACGGCCAATGTGGATTTCATTCTTTTTCTTTCTTTCTTTCTTTTTTTTTTTTTTTTTAAT